TGGTCGCTGGTCTCCATTTCCTGAGTGTGTTACCTAAGCTGAAAGCATCTGTTACCTCTTGCAAAGACAGGGTTCAAGTCACTGATTGGACCATTGGAAGTAGAGACGGGAAAGCTCTGTTCGATCACCCCACCCATCCTCCTTAGCCAGGGCAAGGCTGTTCCCTCCAGCATTTCCCCTGGTGTGTCGTTTAGCCATAGGTTTGCCCCCCTTCCCACTGTTAGGCACTGCTGAATTTCATCCACTACTCTTAACTGTGCCCCTGTGACCACCTGAAACAACTCCTCGCCTTCCTGGGTGTTTATATCCTACACATACAGTTACGATGAGAGACCCTGATTCCGGGGGCTCTTACACATGTGCATAACTTTAAGTACATGCTTAAATCCCATTAAAGTTGATGGGACTTCACCGCATACTTTGTGTTTAAGGGCTTCCCCGAGTCAGGGCCATATACTGCAAATGTAGATCCTGGCCAGAACACTGGACAGGGCCTCAGGGCCTCTGGGTTCTGTTCCCATCTCTGCCACTGGCCTGCTGGGAGACCTGGGGTAAGTCATGTCGGAGAAAAACAGAGCTCTCACTCTCAGGTTTGGGTGCAGCAAGGCAGATACGTTAATATCTCTAGCAATTGCGTGGAGGGAGAGAGCTAAACAGGTCTCTCACAGGTAAACAATGACAGCAAGCATTTATACCTTTTGTTACAGACAATAATGAGCAGCAGCTGCATTTTGTTTATACATAGGTCATCCTGATATCTTATTTTTCTCACCTCTATTTAGACTATAGTCTACATTCCATACTTATCTAACACGAGGTCGCAACAAATTCTCACACAGTTCTTTCCCATTCGCCTCACACAATCCTCACTTCTACAAATCTCACGTGATTGGGGTTACAGCTAGCCTGACTCTCGCTCACAGAAGAGACAGTTTGCATTGAAATCCCCTTCAAATCCACAGTCACTTCCCCCCACTCTGTGCCTCAGTTTCCCCATCTGTAGAATAGGGATAATGATCCAGACCTCCTTTGTAAAGTGCTTTGAGCTCTACTGATGTGATGCGTTTGAGAAGAGCCAGGTACTATTGATGTATTAGGTCCAGGATTGGGCCCTATCATTTACATTTTCAGCCCCACACCAAGATTACAGCTGGAATTGGCCCATGGCCACAGTATAAAGCTTTGGAATTTACCTGAAAACTTAATTAATTCTCTGCTGGTTCAGTCAATTAAATCCTAGCAACTCCATTACCTCTTTAATTAAAGCCGAATCATCAGAAATAATCACAGTTCCTAAACCCTCTGACTCATTAGCTTTGAGGGCAATTTATTATCAGGGTTTATTGGTTATGAAGCTTGTTCGTTAATGAGCGTTCCCCCAGTAATCTGTTTTCATTAAAAAATATTTGCATTTGCCTCTCACTGGTACTTCTAGACACCAGTGATTTAGGCCCTGTCACAAGACAAGAGGCCCCCATCCTGCATGTGGGATCCAAGCATGTGAACCTGTTAGCCTCATTACAGGATTGGGGGCATGCAATGCCTTGAGCGCAGGGCTCTGTCCACACAGATGCTGTTGCAGGATCGGGGCCATAGAGCTCTGGGATTCTGGGCCCCGGCCTTGAGTATCAGTCAGACTTCGCCTACGTGTGACAGGCATGGAGTGTTACACTGTACACCACTCCCCTGACTGGCTAGTGCTAAACGGCTTTTGCTCCCTTCTTGGTTTTCACAAGAGAGAAATTGTTCTAGAGAAGAGGCAAAGGATTCGGGGCGAGAAAACGAGGACCATTCGGATCAGCACTAGCTGATGTATGAAGCCTCGTGAGCCCTTGTCATCCCCTGGTGGGGCTGCTGCCGGGAGAAAGAGGGAAAGAGGCTAGCCGGCAGGGCGTTCTCCTGAGGGAGGGAACCATCTGTAGGCCACATTCCTGCATGGGCTGGGGAGAGGAAGGACAAGGAGACCCAAAGAGTCTTTCCCAGCTCTGATTTCTCTGCGAATCAAAGGAAGATTCCTACCCTCTCCTCATTTAACCCCTTCCCTTGCAGCAATGCCTGTGAGTAACTAGCTCAGAGCGGCTGCAGGGTAATCCGGGACCGTCTGTGCATCTTTACATCTGTGGAGACACAAATATACTCACATGTTGGGGAAGTGCCCTGCACTCTGTGGGCAATATCAGCAAAAGCCCAGCAACAATGACAGTTAACAGCCTTTTCTGCTCCAGGGCTTTTTGCTGTTTTCAGTCGTCCCGTTTGGGGCTTTGCGTTTTCTTTGCGACTTGACATCCAATACCCCCAGCCAGGCAGAAGAAAGCTGCTTTTGGTCGCAGCTCTCCCAGCTGCCTGTGCGTGATGGGCATCTCTAAACTCCCATTGCCCTCCGGAAGGGTCCTGGCAGCCAGGCTCACGGCTAGCCTGGGCAGGCTTAGCTTCGTTACGCCAGCAGTGCATTTGGCCTGGGCTCCACAAGGACGTCGCAAGGGAATTGGGGTTATCTTGTTGTAACCCACGCAAGGAGAGAGTGGATTTTTGTCCCCCTCAAGTGGCTGGTCCACAGGAGAGATTACTGAGTCTGCGGCTACCTACCAACGGCTTTAGCTCACGTAGTGGAGGCGTGTGCTTTTGATGCTGGATGTTCCAAGTCCAGGCCCTGCTGATGGCCCAAGCAGGGTCAGTTACACAGCACAGCTTGTCAGTGAACAAATCCCGCCTTGGTCAGAACAGTGAATATGGGGAAAGAAAACCTGCAGGCCAAGTTCTGCTCTCACAGTGCAGGCCAGGCCAGGCCGAGGAGTCTTAGCGAAGGGCACTCGTAAACTGTCAGCACCAAAGAGGAACCTTGAGGGAAACAGCAGGGGAAAGCAATGCTCGTTCCATGCCCTGGGTCCTCGGCCCCTCGCTAAAGGAATCCATGGGCTGCATGTTGCCGTGATCGCTCCCCTGGGGGGTGATAGCACCATCAGCTGCAGGTGCAAGGCCAGGAACTCTTTGTAAACATTTCCCTTTCCTGCCCTACAAGTTAACGGTCCCTCCACGCTGTTTCACTGTAAGTAGCCCCTATCTTTAAGCTCCTGTAATCCTAGAATATCAGGGTTGGAGGGACCTCAGGAGGTCATTTAGTCCAACCCCCTGCTCAAAGCAGGACCCATCCCCAGACAGATTTTTGCCCCAGATCCCTAAGTGGCCCCCTCAAGGATTGAACTCACACCCCTGGGTTTAGCAGGCCAATGCTCAAACCACTGAGCTCTCCCTCCCCTCATGTGCAGTCACTCTGTGACAGGGAGCCAG